AGGGGGGGGGGGACGCAGAGCAAACACCACCACCACCACCACCATCACCATCATCATCATCATCATCATTATTATTATTATCTCACGCCTGCACTGCCAGCGGGGAGGCTTCTCTGGAGAGAAGTTTAAGGGGTGACAGGCTAAGCCTGTGCAAAGGGAGGAGAGCACTGAGAGTGGTCTGCGAGCTGCTCTCTGGGTTAAGAACATAAGAACATAAGAGATGCCAATGTTGGATCAGGCCAAAGGCCCATCCAGTCCAACACTCTGTATCCCACAGTGGCCAGAAATACCAGTGCCATCAGGAGGTCCACCAGTGGGGCCAGGACATTAGAAGCCCTCCCACTGTTGACCCCCCCCCAAGCACCAAGATGACAGAGCATCACTTGCCCCAGAGTCCCTATCTATACCTTGTGGCTAATAGCCACTGATGGACCTCTGCTCCATATGCTTATCTAATTCCCTTTTGAAGCCGTCCATGCTTGTAGCTGCCACCACTTCCTGTGGCAGTGAATTCCAAGTGTTAATCACTCTTTGGGTGAAGAAGTACTTCCTTTTATCCGTTCTAACCCGACCGCTCAGCAATTTCATGGAGTGCCCACGGGTTCTTGTATTGTGAGAAAGGGAGAAAAGTACCTCTTTCTCTACCTGCTCTTTCCCATGCATAATCTTATAAACCTCAATCATGTCACCCCTCAGTCGTCGTTTCTCCAAGCTAAAGAGCCCTAAGCGCTTTAACCTTTCCTCATAGGGAAAGTGTTCCAACCCTTTTATCATTCGAGTTGCTCTTTTCTGCACTTTTTCCAAAGCTATACTATCCTTTTTAAGGTGTGGTGACCAGAATTGCACACAGTATTCCAGATGAGGTCGCACCATTGATTTATATAGCGGCATTATGATATTGGCTGATCTGTTTACAATACCCTTCCTAATAATCCCCAGCATAGCATTGGCCTTCTTTATTGCAGTCACACACTGTCTCGACATTTTCAGTGAGTTATCTACTACAACTCCAAGATCTCTCTCTTGATCTGTCTCTGCCAGTTCAGACCCCATCAACGTGTATTTATAGTTAGGATTTTTGGCTCCAATGTGCATCACCTTGCACTTGGCCACATTGAACCCCATTTGCCATGTTGACGCCCACTCGCCCATCTTTGACAGATCCCTTTGGAGTGCCTCACAATCCTCACTGGTTTTCACCACCCTGAACAACTTCGTATCATCCGCAAATTTAGCCACTTCACTGCTTACTCCCAACTCCAAATCATTAATGAACAAGTTAAAAAGCAGTGGACCAAGTACTGATCCCTGTGGTACCCCACTGCTTACACCCCTCCACTGGGAGAACTGCCCATTTATACTCACTCTCTGTTTTCTATTAATTAGCCAGTTTTTGATCCATAAAAGGACTTGTCCTTTTATCCCATGATTTTTGAGCTTGCTTAGGAGCCTTTGATGAGGAACTTTATCAAAAGCTTTCTGGAAGTCAAGGTAAACAATATCTATTGGATCCCCCTTGTCCACATGTTTGTTCACCCCCTCAAAGAACATTAACAGGTTAGTGAGACAAGATCTTCCCTTACAGAACCCATGTTGAGTCTGCCTCAATAGGTTTTGTTCATCTATGTGCCTACTAATTCTTTCCTTAATAATGGTTTCCACCAATTTACCCGGTATCGACGTCAGACTGACTGGCCTGTAATTTCCCGGATCTCCTCTGGAACCCTTTTTAAAGATGGGAGTGACATTAGCTACCTTCCAGTCCTCAGGAATGGAGGCTGATTTTAAGGAGAGATTACATATTTTTGTCAGGAGATCCACAAGTTCACAATTGAGTTCTTTCAGAACTCTCGGATGTATGCCATCTGGGCCTGGTGATTTATCAGTTTTTAAGTTGTCTATCACCTCAGGAGGAATGAATAGGCTTTGGAGCTTGAACTCTGCCAGGCGTCCCAGGCTGGTCTGCAAAAACCATGGAGGCAGAAGGGAATAAAAGCTGATTCATCAATTCAGTCCAGCCCTGCCCCTGGCCCAAAGGCATGGAGCATGACCATCCGTCCACCGCCAGCTGCCTATGTGATGCAGGCCCCACACAGCAGGGCCAAGAGGTGCTCCGAGGTCTGAGCAGGTTGCTCTGGGGGACACAGTCTAGCCACAGAGGGAATAACTTCAGTAAGCCTAGTAGCACCTTAAAGACTAACACAATTTGTGACAGGGTAGGAGATTCCTTGAGTCACTGTTCACTTCTTCAGAGCAGTGACTCATGATAACTCCTACCCTGCCACAGGTTTTGTTAGTCTTTAAGGTGCTACTGGACTCTTGGTCTTTTCTACTTTTTTAGACAGACTAACACAGCTACCCATCTTGATCTATCTTCAATAAGTCTGTAGACAATTAACATCAGGCCTCAGTCCTGGAGCATGTGAAGGATTTAATTTCTGAATGGCTCCTTATTCCCCAGGTCACTGTTATTCATTCATTCATTCATTCATTCATTCATTCATTCATTCATTCTGTAGCTCTTATTTATTTATATGCCACCCTTCTCTCCGATGGGGATGCAAAACAGCTTACTTCATTTTCCAGTTTGATTTCCCACTCCTCCACATGCAACCAGCTGGGAGACCTTGGGTGAGTCACAGTTATCTCAGAGCTCTCTCGGCCCCCACCTACCTCACAGGATGTCTGTTGTGAGGAGAGGAAAGGGAGGAGATTGCAAGTCGCTCCAAGACTCCTTCGGGTAGTGAAAAGTGGGGCATAAAAACCAACTCTTCTTCCTTCCTTTAATCCTCACAACAACCCCTTCAGGTAGGTTAGGCTGAGTGTGTGTGATTGGCCCAAGGTCACCCAGCAAGATTCCGTGGCAGAGTGGGGATTCAAAGCTGGGTTTCCCAGACCCTAGTCCCACACTTTCACCACTGCACCACACTGGCTCTCCGTGTGCTTGGACTGCCAACCTCACCATGGGAAATTCCTGTAGATTTGAGGGTGGTGCCTAGGAAGGGTGGAGTTTAGGGAGGGAGCTCAGCAGGGACGTGATGCCATTTTCTCCAGGGGAACTCATCTGTATAATATGGAGATTAGTTATAATTCTGGAAGAACTCCAGGTCCCACTTGGCAGCCCTACAGTGCACCCATGCATGTGTGCATCACAAGCATCAGCATCTTTTCAGCAGGGATATGTTTAAATAGATTCTCTCGGGCACGGTATGGATGGTTCAAATTGCTGCACATTCTTTGCTGTGTTTGTGGAGCAGGTACAGGCCTGTATCGAATACCAATAAGAAAGGGGCCAAAGCAGCCCCTCCCATCTTCAACTTTGAACCACCCAAGAGAGCCGGTACTGTTAAGAAATGTAAGTTACTCTCACTCCCACCCCATTGATAGCACACATCCAACCGGTGCTTCGCCAGCTGCACTGGCTCCAGGTTGAACACTGGACCAGGTTCAAGGTTTTGATACTAACCTTCAAGGCCCTAAATGGTCTGGGACCAACATATCTACAGGACTGCCTCTCCTGGTATACCCCCCCAAAGATCATTACGCTCTGAGGAGAAGAATCTTCTGGTGATCCCTGGCCTATAAGATTCCCAGCTGTCCTTAACCAGACCCAGGACTTTTTCGGCTCTGGCACCCACCTGGTGGAACTGTCTGCCCAATGAAATCCGTGCCCGGCGGGACCTAGTGTAGTTCCACAGGGCCTGCAAGACAAAGATGTTCCGTCAAGCCTACAGTCAAGGACAGCAAGATTTTTTTCCCATGGAGCCTGGCTCTTTTCTTCTTTCCCCTCCCTCCATGGGGGTAAGGATATAAATTGGTTTCTTAGCACCATCTGAAATTGAAACTGGAATTGTATTGAATTGTTTTACTGTTTTAATTGGTTGAACTTGACTTGTACGTGTGTTTACTAAAATGTTGTTCATCGCCTTGAGCCCGGCTTACTGGGGAGGGCGGTCTACGAGTTGAATAAATAAATAAATAAAATGCAGCAGGGATTGAAGAGGCAAGTTGCTATATTGGGGAGGGTTATCACTCAAAGGCAGAACACATGATCCCAGCTTCAGTCCTTTGTCTCTCCAGCTAAACGATCTGCAGTAGCAAACGTTGAGAAATATCTTTTCCCATTGGATTAGATAATACTGAACTAGATGAACCATCTGGGATTGGGGAGATCTGGGGCTTAACAAGCTCACTAAGTGACCTTGGGCCAGTTGATCTCTCAGCTTTCCCTCACAATGTTGTTCTGAGGATA